CCGTTTTCGTTGTCTAAATCATCCACAGTTCCAGATGTTTAACATTTGCAGGCATATTATTTTTTATGATTATATTGGTAGAAGTAGTGAAAGAGTGTAAAATATAAAATATTCAAGTATACTGAATATTCTGCATAGATGATGGTTTAGACTGCGAAATACGGAGTATATACTAATCCCGATACTGTATCATACAATTGGTCTAGAGCTCTGAAACCACGGAATTGGGATTTCAGAAGGACTATTTACTTGCAAAAATACTGTTTCTGATAGATCATCGGTACTGTTATGATGAGTAAAAGAAAAAATTCGATTTACATACTGTTGCTGATAGGATTCTAAAAAGGTGCAAAGAATATGGAAAGAGATCTGCATCTGGGGTTTTTTTAAATCCTATCAGGAACAAGCACAAATAAATTTTTTCACTTCGCCAGGGTCAAGACTGCCGATTAATCAAGAATAGTTTCTTTGCGTAAGCGAGACACTGATTACACGTATGATTACCTTGTAAGTTTGATGATGTTTCATTATAATGCGCGCCTTGATAATCATTTGGCATTTGAACTGGATTAAAAACAGCAGTAAAGAAATAAAAATATTTATGATTAGAAAAGTTAAGAGCTGGAGTCTTCAGGATCATATGGAGGTCCTCGCAGAGATAATTTCGAAAATAGAAAACAATACTAATTACTGTATACCTAGCAGATTCAATAACATCCAAGAAGCGAGATCAATATTAAGATGATATAATGGCTGTCCGTATTGATCTAAAATTATAATGAAACAAGTTAACAACTGTCAGACCGCCCATACAAAGAATGAGATAAGTGAAACATAGTAAAAGATGAAATGCAGACAATTATTACCATAAAAAATAGCTTGAGAGGGGTAGCTCCTAAGAGGAACGGAATTTTCAATATTGGAAGTTTGTCCTTCTAACGCTTAAAATAATATAAAATTACTATTATAGAAACTAGAGCTGTAAGAAGTATCTACAGTAACCTACCCGTATTGAGAAAACTAGAGGGATAACCCCTAAGAGGAACGGAATTTTCAATATTGGAAGTTTGTCTTCCTAAAACAT